CCCTCAATGTTCTTTGCAGGTTTCTTCTCGAGGTTGCTCTGGCCATGCTGGGGTTGTGGTTGAGGCGAAGCCTGAGAAGGAGGCGTCGTTGCGTGTGTTTGTCGTTGAGGATCCAAAGCTTCAAACTCTTTACTCTCTACACCTTTGGCTAATCTATTCAGGAATATAAACTTGATGGCAAAGCCCATGTCATGCGTATCAGGCCCTTCCAGAGAAGTCTGGCGAAGAAGAAATCCAAGAGGAGCGCAGCTTGAGTTTTGGCGTTGATGTTTCAGATTTCATGCATCTTTCAATCCTCTCCGCAGGCTTCCAGTCCCTCTAGAGGTCTTTCTGGCCACGCAGGGGTTCTGGCTGAGGAGAAGCCTGAGAACGAGGCCTTGTGTGTGCGTGTGTGTTATTGGTCATTGACAGCTAGAATCATGATCTGAAGCATCAAGAGCTCTGTACACCTTTGGCTCATCTATTGAAGCATATGTTCCTGGGTCTTTTTGTTGAAAACTAGACGGCAAAGCCCATGTCATGCGCACCAGGCCCTTCTAAAGAAGCCCAGTGAAGAAGAGGAAGAGGAGTGTGACTTGAGTGATAGTGTTGATGTTTCTTGCATCCCTCAATGTTCTTTGCAGGTTTCTTCTCGAGGTTGCTCTGGCCATGCTGGGGTTGTGGTTGAGGCGAAGCCTGAGAAGGAGGCGTCGTTGCGTGTGTTTGTCGTTGAGGATCCAAAGCTTCAAACTCTTTACTCTCTACACCTTGGGCTAATCTATTCAGGAATATAAACTTGATGGCAAAGCCCATGTCATGCGCATCAGGCCCTTCCAGAGAAGTCTGGCGAAGAAGAAACGAAAGAGGAGCACAGCTTCAGTTTTGGTGATGTTTCATGCATCCTCCAATCATCTCCGCAGGCTTCCAGTCCCTCTCGAGGTCTCTCGGTCCACGCAGAGGTTCTGGCTGAGGAGAAGCCAGAACATGTGTTATTGTGATACTTGTCGGATAGTTCAGGGCTGGAGCCCGTGTCATGT